TCGTTTACCCCAATGAACATTTTTTATTATTATGTTTGTTAACAAAAATACAAACAAACTAAAGAAAATGGAAGAACATTGATGTAAAACTAATATGTATACTCATTCATCCTGATTTTTTTTATTTTGTGAAATCTACGTCTTTTAGTGTCAAAACTACGTGTTGTGGTCTTTCTTTTATGTATTGCGTTATGACGTTTGTGAAAAATCTTTGCGTGTTGGAGAAATATGGATATCATTTTCGGATTCAGCGTACAGGAATTAATGTAGAACATGTAAAAAATTCAAAACAATAAAACCATTGCAGGCCTGGGTTATCAAACACGCCTCACAAAAACAGGAGGATGAAGACCGCTAACATCATTCAGATATAAAAATATGTCCGCAAATGTTGCGCGTATGAAGTAATGTTAATGGACTTCTAAGATAAAACATTTTTATCGTAATTTATTCACAGTTAAGAAACACAGAAATTAATTTACTACGATAAACAAATTATTCTGGTGATTTATTTTCGTAATTGTAATGTCAATGAAATGTGTTTAACTAACTTGTGTACTTCCGAACACCTTCAGATTACAGAGATCAAAGTGCACGTCGACAAGTAAGAAAACATAGTTACTTATCGTGAAGTTCACAAGGATTTTAGTTATAAATGTTAACAGAAAAATAAAAATGCAAGTAATATACATTGTATTAATCGTATGGATGTTATACACGGACAAATTTACGTGTGGTAAGTTATTCTTCGTCTTGATAATTAAACTAGTATGTAAAAACGTTTATTCTAGTTTAACAATAACGATGAAATTACTTGCCAAACGAAAGACTAATTCCAAGGTACAAGCCAAAACTGGTAGAATTAATCTTAGAGCCTGTCATTTTGTGTCAACTCATTTTACATGAGTGTCTACGCTTCAAAAATATCAAATTGAGTTACTCATTCAATTCTTAGTACTCATCGATTAAATCTTTTATGTTTTGTATTTTTTCATACGTAAACTATTCGTTCTTCAGACACGAACACTCATAGAGTACAAAAATTAATATGTGGTAATACCTGAGCCTATGCTTGCTTATCAACTTAAACTTTGAAGTATTTGGGTCGTCACTTGAAGTCATCATGACCATTTACCAAATCAGGATAAACAAGTGTATGAGATTGTTTTCCAGTTTCATAGGGTTTTTTTTACCAATTTTTATTCTGTACAGTAAATTATTGTATTTTAGTAATTTGGAGACTGGAAACAATCTCATTTTTATAGAATTGTGTATAAAATCGTTGTTTTTTAAAAATTGTGGTTTTTAACATTGAACACTAAACACGTGCCAAAAAAAAAAATATTTTTAAAAGTGTACTTCTATTTTTAGCGAAACATCGTCACTAAACTTATTCCATATTGAAACATCCTTACACATTCACACCGTAATAGAAGTATTATATAAGGAAAAAAATATAATTTGTATTCCGTGGAACACAGATCCGATGTTTGAATGACAACAACAAACGTTCAAGTTAAAAAATATTAACTGTACGGTAATAAAATATAATCCACTTATATGACAAGAGGTAATATAAGTTGTACAGAAACTTCTTTCAACACATTAGACGACATAAATGTTATGTTTACCAATTCAAGGTTAGTTTAATTTAAATTGTTTTCGACACAAGGTATGGGTATACATGCACAAAGACGAACAGTCATGTCAGACACTGTTTTCAGATCCTTGGGACATGCGTTTCCGAAGTAAGACGCCCCATGTAAGTCGATGCACTGAGTAATTCAATGCGTATTTAACTACCATATTCAAAACTGAAAACCCTAAAAAGAAACACACGGAAGTTGCAATACTGAGTGTGAGAGGAAAACAAAAGAGAATTGAGATTACCATGTTATTCACGTAACGCTCAATATGCACTAAAATGTAGAAAAAGGTATAACCGCCATCCAGAGCAATCATTATTATGCTATGAGAAATAAAATGTGGAATAGCTTAGATTTTTAATAATGAGATACAGAGTGGAAACTAGGTTTATTATAAGGGTTGTCTAACGAACAACAACATAGTTTAATTCTTCTATAAACAGCTGGATATGATATTACTTTACTTGGACAAAATCAAAAGAAATCCTGTTTATCAACACAAAGCACAAGGATGTTACAGACATATAATAAACAAAACACCTTGTTTCAACTGCATGTGAAGGAGGTTTAATTAGATTAAATTAGAAATTTATGTCAAATATACAAGCACTCTGAGAAATATTTACTTCAGCCACCGAGAGTGACGGAGGTTATGTTTTCACCCCTGTGTGTGTGTGTGTTTGCCAGCAGGATTTCTCAAAAACGGCTGAACGAACGTTGGTATTCATTTTGACTAAGATACAATTTAGAAGTGATTAGTTTTTGGAGGATGAAAGGTCAGGGTCACAACAAGGTCGAGAAAATCCAACAAAATCCCTATCTGCTAACATTGGGACAGATTTTTCACATTATTTTTGCTGTATAACTCAGTGAAAAATGATCGAATTTTGATGAAACTTGGTGGATATATATAGTATATTATTCTTCATTTTCCTACCAAAAATGGTTTGTCTCCGTTGATAAATACGGACACATTTTTGTATTGTTTTGAGAGCCGAATATGATCAACGCTGCGTGGCGGAGGTGTGCGTTCTACTGAGTGTCCCTCCAGTTTTCAATGTTTTATTTCTTTTCTGTTGGGTTTCAGTAAATGCCACTTTATAGTTCCTCGTTTTTTCCTTTCTTTTTGAAATATACCATGTAATATGTTCTGTTGATTAATCGTATCTTTTCTAACATACAGGAAGTCAACAAATTAACATAGAGTATCGTGGAGAGCAAGATAATCAATCAAACAACAGTGAAATTGCTCAACCCAACTACAAAGATTCTCTGGTGAGTCAACAAATTAACATAGAGCATCGTGGAGAGCAAGATAATCAATCAAACAACAGTGAAATTGCTCAACCAAACTACAAAGGTTCTCTGGTAAGTCAACAAATTAACACAGAGCATCGTGGAGAGCAAGATAACCAATCAAACAACAGTGAAATTGCTCAACCAAACTTCAAAGGTTCTCTGGTGAGTCAACAAATTAACATAGAGTATCGTGGAGAGCAAGATAATCAATCAAACAACAGTGAAATTGCTCAACCAAACTACAAAGGTTCTCTGGTGAGTCAACAAATTAACATAGAGCATCGTGGAGAGCAAGATAACCAATCAAACAACAGTGAAATTGCTCAACCAAACTTAAAAGGTTCTCTGGTGAGTCAACAAATTAACATAGAGCATCGTGGAGAGCAAGATAACCAATCAAACAACAGTGAAATTGCTCAACCAAACTTCAAAGGTTCTCTGGTGAGTCAACAAATTAACATAGAGTATCGTGGAGAGCAAGATAACCAATCAATCAACAGTGAAATTGCTCAACCAAACTTCAAAGGTTCTCTGGTGAGTCAACAAATTAACATAGAGTATCGTGGAGAACAAGATAACCAATCAAACAACAGTGAAATTGCTCAACCAAACTTCAAAGGTTCTCTGGTGAGTCAACAAATTAACATAGAGTATCGTGGAGAACAAGATAACCAATCAAACAACAGTGAAATTGCTCAACCAAACTTAAAAGGTTCT